CCTCCCTAAGCGGGACTCCAGTTATGCAGAAAATAACGGCAAGAGCTAACACATGGGACAGTACCAACCACAAGCTTTCTGTACAGCAAATGAGGCAGTCAACATGGCAAAGAGACAACCTCCACAATGGGACATTTTTTCAAGCTACTCTTTTGATAAAGGATAAATATCTGCAACATATAAAAACCTCAAAAAATCCTTAATATCAGCAATCCAAGTGCCTCGTCGGTAAGTGGATAAATGAATTGGTCTAATAATTCTATCAAAAGGGAAGTGCAAAGAACCAGTAAGTATAGGAGAAAATGTTACACAATTTTAGCCACCAGAACAATGCATATCAAATGTACACTGAGATGTCGTGTCACCCCAGTCTGACTGGCTTTTGTAAATAAATAAATAAAACCTTCACAAGGAAGCAAAAACAGGAAGCAATCTAAACTGCTACTGGGGATGTGAATAAGTACATCCTGTATGGAAGTCAGAATGGAAATTACTCTAAAAACTAAAAGTAGAGCTACTTACCATTGCTCAGTGTGTACATGGAGAGCTTAAAATCCTCCTACTTAACAGATACATTTATAAGCAAGTTTATATGTTTTTATGTTTTTCCTAATATTTGATGTTAGTAAATACAGGGATGGTATGAAAGTAGAAGATACACTATCGGACATGATGAAAGAAGTAAGGAAGAGTAGGGACAGTGACAGAGTGAAAGACACAAATATACACATGTACGAGATTTTAACAACTATTTCCTAAAGCAAACCTAGATGGCAGAATAGAGTTGCTCCTCCGTGAGCTGGTATGTGAGCACTGAGTTTGCGGATGCAGGATAAAGTCAGTGGTCATGGAAAGATGCTAGACTTGGGCAGAAGGAAACTCAAACCTGTTGAAATCCAGAGACCGGGGAACACAGCATCCCAGAAGAAAATCCCGTAGCACCTGTTGCCTGAGTCCATAACAGGAGGCAGAAGGGTCTGCCTCTCTAGAGTGGAGCTGTGAAGATGAGAGTACAGCAGGTCCTGCCGGGACAGAGTGACCCTTTGAAGACAAGCACCCGAAGTACACGAGAGACCCAGGGTCTGCACACTGAGTGGGCTTAGGAGTAGGAATTCACTCCATATTTGAAGAAACTGTGAGTGTGCTTTATCTAGGAGCCGTCTTGAGAAGGAATGTGCTTTCTAAGCTTGTCTGGAAATCTTAACCTGTCCCTGTCTCTGGGAGTCTTTGTCCTTTCTACTGCTTTGTCTCAGTAGTTAGCTGCCATGTCATGAAATATCGCTTTTGGGAAGTAACTTTGACAAAAACTCACTGAGAGTTGTGTGCTATCGGACATGTGGCCTGCAACATTGGGGAATGCTACCATGCAGAATTAGGGGATCAGAGGACTTGCCCTCTGAGGCCAGGCCATGAGTCGAGTGTGATTTCTACCTGGGACCAAGGGAGCTACAATCAAGGGTCATGACTTACAGGGATCCCCACATGCCTCTCTCAGCAAAATATTCCAGATTCTCCAGTGGTCAGAGTATCTAGCGATTGTCTCTCTTACATTTCTGTCTTTGGCCCTGTGCCTAAAGCATGCCTCCTAGAAGTCCCCTAGAGTAACTGTGCTTGTCACTGCACAAACTGCCTGCCAGCTCATCCTGGTGAGCACGTCTATGGAGGGGAACTTTGAACAGCCGATCCATGGGTGGGTACCATGCTTGACAGAATGGGAACAGGAGAAACCTAAGCCAATGCCCCGACCTGCAGCCCACAGCCTAAGAACCTCCAGAGACAAACTGTGTTACCCCCAGGCAGCATTCCACCCTTGCTTACTCTTCTGAACACCTTGGCACCAGGCACACTGATTCACCCCTGCAATCTCAGCTTTCAGGAGGCTGAGGCAGGAAGATTTCCATGAGTTCAAAGCCTGCCTGGGATATATGAGTTAAAGGCCAGTGTAAACTAGAAGAGACTGTCTCTCTGGAAAATTTCTGACCTAGAACAATGAATTCTATATTTTTCTTCTACAATTACCTCCTTTTTAAATACAAAACACAGCCTTCTTCTCACTTCCACTGAAACACTTTCTAGCCTCAGCCAGTCTTTCTTTCAAGCCCTTTTGCACGTTGTCTGACATAACCAGCTGTCTCATAAGATTGGTAATAATTTTAGCTGAACATTTCTTCCAGGTACTCTATTAAGTGCTATTTACTAGTACTAAATTCAGACTAAATCTAAAATTGCTTAAAACAGTAACTCTCATTGATTTGTTTCATGAAATGACTCTTTGGCCCAAAATTGAGAGACAATTCCTCTTTGGCCTTGCTGGCATGAACCTGGGTATCCCTGTTTGGACCTGCATACTCTTTTTGAAGATGGGCAAACACAAATCCCAAGTTGGTGCTCATTACTAGCTGGAAGTTCAGCTCACTGTAAGCTCTCAGTTTTCTCCGTGTTGACCTCCACGTGAGCTTTCAGACCACAGTGTATGTGCCCTGCAGTCAGCCAGGAGGCAGGTCAAGCAGTCCCCATTTTTATGTTCCAGTCTTGGATTCAGCATGGGATCACTGCTGCCCTGCATATACGTGATCCCATAAATGATGATCCGCCCAGATCCAGAGCAAGACTACGGACTTCACTTTTTTGTAGGAGACTAGCAAAGTTTTAGTGGAGCTTATGGATTGGTAACTACATTATGGTCCTCTTTTGAAAATGCAATCTACTGTGGGTATTTAGATCATAATATTTATTGAATAACGGGGATTATTTCTCAGTTTTTTCTTGGCTCTCAATAATCCTTGTTGTGATACTTGAAATGTACCTGTATAGTGACTTAGATTAAGCAACCCTGGCTTAGTATTTCACTAGAAATATATGATTTTCTTTACCTACAACATTTTGAAATGTTTGGGCTTATGAAAAAATTTATCGTCATAGAAGTTTCATAAATATTTGTTTCTATGTGTATACTAAATGTTTATTTATCTACAACTATGCATTACATATTGAAATATTTTCTTTATTTGAATGGCATTATGTTTGATACATATTGCATTTTAGGACTACTTTGTATTGTATGTAATAGATAGGAAAGCATTTTGTGTACAGAGTATATGATATAATTTATAGGTTCAGAATACATGTGTATAATTACACATATACACTATGTGTAACACTATGTGCCTATTAAGTAAATTAGATATACAGTAAGTCTCTGACTTACAAACTTTCCCAGACCTCTCTTTGTGCACATTCTTAGATGGGAACAAGTCACAGAAGTAGCTCACAATTCTGCCAGATATTACCCCAGTTGTGCTGTTTTCTGCTCACAGTACAGTGCCGTGGTGCACAGTAGGATGCTGCTCAATCAGAACCCAGGATGTCTGGAAGCAAGAAGAGAAGCAGTGGCAATGTGGAGTGGACTGGTAGGAAGCCCAAAGCCATATACACTGTGTACCTGCTTCTAAGGTGTATGAGACCCACTTTGTTGGAGTTACAATGGTCTTTCAGAATGAAATTCGTTCATAAGTCTAGGACCTACTGTATGTACATAACCAATGACAATGAGAGATCATTTCACAAACCTTGAATTGCTACCTACATGTCACTATTATGATTTATAGAAAATTTTCAAGTGATGGAAGACTAACACTTATGTATTGCATGATCTGCAATGTACTATCAATTCCTAGGTTCCAGAATTAGACTTTGGAGAGATGCATGAGATCATGTATTTGCCCACTTGTATCTCTTTTTACTATACTTTGATTTAATATACTGAACAGATAAAATTTTACTAGAATTTTGACTTCAAGGATGGACATTCCATTAGAAGAGAAATCCTGTAGCATCTGAAGCTAAGGAAGGTCATGCGGGTTTTATTCACTGACATTTTTCAAATACTCTTTTATTTCAAAGGAAATTCAATAAATATCTTCATTTATCACAAGGAAGCAAAACCTGCAATCTCTAAGACTTTTTCATGATCTGTGATTTATTTTCATTTCTATTAAATTAATAAAAGAAAATAATTTTAACAAGATAAAAACTGGAATATTTGTACTGGCTTGAAATTAGTATTGTGAATTGTAGCTATATGTATTTCAATAATTTGGTATAATTGTTTGTAAATTATTTTTTAACTAGCAATGTTTGTTTCATTAATGAAGACATCTACTTTTTCCATTCATATGTTACCAATATCCACAACCTTTAAGATCTGTACAATCAAACCTTCTTATCTGTTCTATAAGAATTTTTTTTTTCATTTGCAAAGAACCTCAAGATATTCTCCCTGGAAAATATTTCACACATTTTTCCTGCTACTCTCTTAAAATATTTATGCTTACTATTTATTTCATTTGGAATTTATTTCATTATAATAATGTTAAAGTAGTCCCTCTTTTGTTTTCTCTCTTTTTTTAATTTTAGTTTGAGAATAACCATTGGCCACTACCCTTAATGTTTTACAGGGAATGAAAAATGAAAACAATTAAGAAGTGGTATTTACATGTACCAACTCTCCACAAGGAACATAACCATTATGTACTGCAAACATGTATTAATAATAAAAAAGGAGAAGTTAGCATATATATATTTTAAATGAAAATGCCTCTTCTAAAAAAAAAAAAAACACAAACTATATGAATATGAATGTGACACATTGTGTATTAGTGAGCTGGGGATTTAGCTCAGTAGTTCTGCCAACTGCCTCACAAGCACAAAGTCCAGAGTTTGATCCGGGGTACAAAAAAGAAAAAAAAAGTGTATTATCCAGGTCCCTGATTACTCTCTTCTATTGCTAATGCCCTTATTTCAGACTAAATACACAGCTACAAGGGATATTAATAGGAGAATATAATTTTTCATTGATTTAATTAATACAAAAATAAAGGCAAAATGGAAAAATTAGAACAAAATAAACTGATGCAACATAATGAACAAGTGTAATGGAACAAATAAACTAAAATTTTGTAAATGTCCACTGCATCCACATTGGCAAATACCTCCTGGTATCACATGATGTGTTTCTGGAGCCACTTTCTCAAGGCCCCCTTGACTTCTTTATTCCTCACGCTGTATATAAGGGGGTTCAACACAGGAGTGATGATGGTGTAAAAGGCAGGGACCACCTTGTCACAGCCCAGGGGCCAGGAGGACTTGGGCCTCACGTAGATGAACATGATGGTGCCAAAGAACAGCCCCACCACGGCCAGATGGGAGGAGCAGGTGGCAAAGGCCTTCTTCCGGGCCTCAGTGGCCTGAATGCGAGGCACCCTGGCCAAGATGAGCATGTAAGAGGCCAAGATGAGCGACAGCGGGACCAAGAGCATCAGGATGCAGCAGATGGACATGAAGAATTCAAAAATGGCCCTGTTGGCACAGGCCAGGTGCACCAAGGACAGAGCCTCACAAAAGAAATGGTTGATCTCCCTGGCACGGCAATAAGGGAAGCTCAAAGTGGCATCAGCCTGCATCAGCCCATCCAGCCCTCCCAGGAGCCAGGAGCCGGCCGCCATGTGCCAGCAGCGCTTCTTGCTCATGAAGAGGTGGTAGCGCAGCAGGTGGCAGATGGCCACATAGCGGTCGTAGGACATGGCCGCCAGGAGGAAGCACTCCCCGCCGCCCAGTGTGAGGAACAGGAAGATCTGCACCCCACATCCGGTGGGGGAGATGGAGCGCATGTGCAGCAGGTAGTTGGTCACCATCTTGGGAATGATGGAGGAGACCAGCGTCATGTCCATGAGGGAAAGCTGGCTGAGCAGGAAGTACATGGGCGTGCGCAACTGGGGGTCTTCCCAGATGAGAAAGATCATAAGACTGTTGCCCACCAGGGAGGCAAGGAAGATCACGAGCACGAGAGAAAACAGGATTTGATGCAGCCGTGAGTGATCAGAGAGGCCTAGAAGGATGAAGTTCATCTCTGTGGTATCATTTGAATATTTCATGGCTCTAATCAAACCTGAAGGAAAAGGGAATGCTTTAGAAGTGACACCTGCACTTAAAAACAACTTGCAGTTTGCTTTAAAAAAATACTTGGCCAAATGAAATAGAAAATCTCAACATTAGTGTGCTAATTGATATTTCACTTGCTGCCAGAAATTTTGTCTCAGCATTCATTTGTCTGTATCTCCTGTTTCCATTCTATATTTAAATTATCTAACCATATAAATATCTATCTATCTCAACTACAAATGAAATGCCTAATATTTTAGAATAATTTGCCAGTATGCAACACTTAATCATAGCTTTAAAATATTATTTAATTTGTTAGCTGTAGTTAGAGTAACTCTCTGTCAGAGTTTTGTGTTCATATGTATTTTTTAATGTATGTTGATGTAATATATCTCATAATTATGACCTTTGAACTTTTCTCACATACCGGATTAAGATAATTTCAAAAAATTTATTTCAGTGTTGTGAGAATTAAAATTTTAAATAAAAACAAAGAAAACAAAATGTGTGATGTGTTAGCTTTCTTGTTGCTGGTGAAAATGACTGTCATACAGAACTTAAGGAGAAGTTTAATTTGACTCCTACTTTCAAAAGCTTCAGCCCCTGATCCACTGGCTCTATAGCCAGAAAAACATGGTTTAGGAACCTTTTGAAGCTAAGTTTCTCACATTAAGGAGGCCAGGAAACAGCACAGGGAAATACCAAGAGGGAGGATGGGGCTAGGGATCAGATATTGCCTTCAAGGTTATGGCTCCTTGACCCACACAGACACACCAAGAATTGTGTGTCACTGCTCTTCAAGGCTGTGCTCACACTAATAAAGGTGACAACCAAGTTTAACTGTCACACACAACTATTTAAACCATACTTTACCATCAGGAAAACAAGAATGGCTAAATTTCTCTATTCCGAACATGCGAGGAGCTGATTCTCTATACTAGCACCTACTTACCATAGATACTGCTCCACAACACCAACTAGCATTTAATTCCTGTTACCATGACTTATTTTCCTATTTAAATGAAGTGTTGGTTAGTAGAGACCCCTTATAATAGTTAATATTTGTATCTAGCAGATATTTCAAATAACATTGAATTTAAATGCTTACTGTCAAGAAAGTTAATATTTTCACAAACATAACTTATGAATATAATTTTTTTATTTGCAAGATTTCCAGCTTATACTAATCAGACATTCTTAAAGATAGTATTCAAAATTAATAAGTAAGACTTGTCCAAATCAACTCCTTCACATAAATTAGGTGTGAATAGTCAGCATCAGCATCCCTATAAGGAATTCCAAGAGTGGCTTCCTATTGACTACCATTTCTGCCATGCACGTGCCTCATCGATAGATGTAGACTCAGGCACAAATGACTTTCCTCACATATCTGTGTAAGACTTACATTTTCCCTCAAATTCAAATTGCTGAAGGACCAATAGAGATTGCCAAGAGAATTATATTTGAGTTTCAACTATAATCTATATCAAATCATTTTTTCAAATTTAAATTAACTTGAAGCAAAATTTTTTAGTATGCATCTGAATCTTAATTTTAGTGGCCATGTATACAACTAATATTTTATTTACATAATTAGATTTTCTTTTAATCAAAATAAATGGTGATGTAATATTTAATAACATGCTGCTAAATATATATTCAAACATATATACATATATACTTAAATGTCACCAGTTTAATAATATTACATTCCATTTTTAGCAGCTCACATATAGGTAGTATATATTTATGAATATTTAGTTTTTTCTATTATTCTGCTAGATATAAATAGGGGGTTTTTTAGTTAAAAAAATAAAATTATTCTTTCTTTGTTTTTCTTCAGGAGATATGTGTTGCTTATTTTTTCAGTGGCATCAGCTCTGAATTTGAATTTAAATTATTTCATGTGAAACAATGTGATGATATGTATGAGGCAGTTATTAATACTAATTATAGAAGAGTGAAAATAATTTTTGTTTTGCATGGCACTTCAAAATACTAAGGCAGTTAGAAACTTTTATTTCTATTTTTTAAAGTTTTATTAATGTTTTTATTTCTCCTTTTCTTTCAAAAATTTTTATATTTTATTTTTATGTTTACTACTACATTTGAAGTAATTAATGATTACATTCCCTATGGGGACTTGGTATATGCACACAACACATCTCAAAAATTATTAGTCCATATTTGTGGTACACAAAACATTCATCTTTTTGTTCTTTCCTTTTTTATTTTCTGTTGATACCAGGGATCCAACTCGGGACCTTGACACTTGCAAGCCAGGCCTGGCGCCACTGGGCTAAATCCTCAGACCAAATACATTCATCTTGGGGAGTTTGTACACATACATAGCGCATCTTAATTCTTTTATTTCTCCTCTCCCACCACTTTTGCAAATTCTGATCATCTCTTTTTGATATTTTATATTTGAAAGAATTTTTTGTGTATTTTGTAATTAATATATACTGCTACATCTCATTATTGTAAACATTGCAACAATCTTTCCCAAATAGTTTTATAGATTTAATCATGAATTTGTTACACTATTCAGATACAATTTTTGCATTTTATATTATTTATTTGGGATACTTATCATCACCATCCATTTAATGCTAATGAGCTGCATTTATTAATTGATTTTGTTGTCTAAAAGTTCTGTACAATATTTGAATAAAGCTAAAGATGTGAGTGATATTTATGATCATCAAGTTTGGTATTATTGGACTAGAAATTAAACTATTGTAATAAAATGTCTTAAACTTATACATACAGAGAATGAAGCTCATTTTTGCAGATATTTATGAGGTTTGGGGTGGCCTCCAACAACCTTTTTAAATTACCTTAATTATTTTAGCCTTGGAAACTCACGAACATGTCTAGAGTGTTTCCTGCCTCAGCTTCCTTTGATTTCACTGGGTTCAGTATAGCCAAGTGATATCTGTGGTAAAACCAGCATCAGAGTCATTTTCAAAGAATATAAATCTGAAATGTAATTTGAAAAATCTGTGTGTATTTATAACTGAATACAGTAATTTTAAACTACCAATCACTGTCATCATATAAAGCATTTCAGTCACTGAACAAGCAGTGATGTGTTAGAGTCCCTGCAGAGTGTCATGGGATATTCCTATACATTTCACGTTAACCAGCTGGAAATCTCAAATCTAGAAACATAAGTCACTTACTAAGTAATGCATATTCTAAAAATTAAATAACTGTTGCTAAATTGTCTTCCTCAATGCAGTAGAACTTTGTCGTTTAACTTTACGACTACTAAAGTATAGATTTATGGCCTAGGTCCTTACCCTTGAAAATCTGTGTATGTAATAAGTAGCTGGATAAAATTAGGCAGTTAAAATCAATGGAGGCTTCCACTTGGTTATGTGCAGGTATGATGAAATAAGCTATCTACTACAAGGTGTTCAACTCTTATGATTATTACAGTATGCAGCATTTTAGTAATGCCAAATGTAGCATAATTATTTCTTAAAATATTACTTAAATTAGCCCAGAATAGATAATTTCCAGACAAATATTTTGGAATAAAAAATAACAAATAATTTAGAATTAACACATAATATAATTTTACATTTTTTAATAAAAAAGACAGTGTAAGAGAGAATGTTTTCAGCATCTCCTTAGACTATGTGTCAGTCTCCTTTGATGAATTTACTGTGAATAGAGATCATGCCCCCCAAAAACATGGTGAATTTAACTATTCAAAGGCTACTGAGTGATTTGATTATCATTTTTAAAAATTGTCATTTATAAAGTAATATAATTGAGGAATTACGGAAATTTTAAAATTTCATTTCATTTTCATAAAGCATTTCCATATTTACCAGCAACAAATTAAAATATAAATTGTGTAATATATTTAATCACAAAAGACTATTATTCAAAGTTAAATATAATTGTAATTTCATAGGTCAAAATCAACTTGTAGGTCAGATGATTTGTCAGATGTTTACCCTGTTGTCCTACACATTGAAGACAGAGTAAAAGAACATTCTCATTGATTTTCTAGTTTAATGAAATGTGCAGTGAATTACACAAAGTCTTTTAAACCCACTGTATGTTTTCCATCTCCACTTCAATGTGATTTCCCAGAATTAGCAAAGCTACAACTTACCCAGAAATACAATAAAGAAAAGTACTTTGCTGGCCAAAATTGTGTTCTGGCATCAATATGGTTTTATTCAATTTGGTCCCTCAACATTAAGGCTAAAATCAAACCTGATTCCCCACCTATCTGCTATGAAGTTGGAAGCTCCGTTGTAAAATGCATGAAAATTGTAGCAAGAATTGGCCACAGCACATCTATTATTTTGTTACCTAATATCAGAACAAGAAAATGAGGCATACTTGGTTTTACTTTAGATTTCAGAAATAGTAAATAATTTACTTTAAGTTTTTCTTGGAATATTAAGGGATGAAGTCAGTTCTGAAACTACATAGCATGAAAGTACAACTAGCATTCTGAGAGAACCTCCTGTGCTTGTGTTGTTTCCCAGTTTTGTTGGAGCTACCAGGTCGACAGTGTCCATCAGACACCCTGGTGCCGAGAAGCGCAGCACTCCTGTGTTTAGTTTGAGTTGGATCCCTAGTATTGTGAGGAAGAAGAAGAAAAAAAATGAATGAAACAAAGGATTTGCAAGGGCAAATGTACTAGATCAAATGACAAAGTTTCAGGTAAAATATTATTAGTTCAATAAGGCAGTCTTCTGTCAGTCATTCAGGACAGCCCCAATACTAGGCTGTGTTTTGCTACACAAAATTTCCTTATTGCAAAACAAAAGCATGAAATACTTTTAATAAATTTATGGATATATTAAAACTATATAAGATGGGTATAGGAATATTGATTTAACCATGCAAAATCAGGAACTTGTGACTGCATTTTACCTTACATCACAGTAAAAGCTTGAGCAAGATGATCCAGGAAATGCAACTTTTGGATCTCCAGTTAGTATTTTAAAACAGGCACAATGGT